GTGTGTGTGTGTGTGTGTGTGTGTGTGTGTGTGTATTAGAGAGAAACCTTGACAAGATAGTTTTATATATATGTAAAACTATATATATAATTATTTATGTATGATATAAATATTAAGTTAATAATATTAATAATATTAATATATTATTATGATAATATTTAATTATTGGTTAAGTTAATAATATAAATTATATGGGTCATTATTAAAAATATATAAATATATAAAATTAAAAATAATTTTAATAAGAATATAATATATATTATTTATATAATATACATTTATATATTATTATAAGTTAATATAAATAAGAACATTATTATATATTATTTATTAATTAAATTATATGCTATACACAATTATATTTATTAAATATTAAATTAATAATATAAATAATAACTATATTCTAACAGTATTATTTAATTGTTAAATTAATAGTATAAAACTATAATATAAATAATGTAAATATTAAATATAAAATTAAAGAAAAGTACCTAGACACTCTTGCAGAGAAATTAAAAGATGTGTGTGTTTTGAGAGGATTTAATTTAGCAATATTGGCAATTATTTATGTAATGTTATAGACTTAAAATAGTACAATGGTACAGTGTTAGGCAAGCTTACCAATGGAACAAAATAGGGAGCCAAGATGCATACCAACATGTATGTAGAGATTTTATTTGTGGTAGAAACTGGTACTATGGACTACTTGGGGGGAAATAGGGTATCAATAAATAGAGTAGATCTCAATTGATTATCTGTGTAGGAATGAAACTTCCAAAATGTCCTTCACAGTTTGGTCAAATAAATTAAGTGCATCAATACAATGAAAATTTTCACTGTTTTCAAAGAGAATGAGGCAAATCTACACTTATTTTTATAGAATGATCTCTAAAATGAACTCTAAGTGGAAAAACAAAGGTGTGCAGAGTAGTGTGTATAGTATGCTGCCCCATGGAACAGTGGTGATGGATGGTCAAGTTTATCTCTATAGAAATATGTATGGGTGCCTGGAGTACAAAGATGGGAGAGTCTTACTTTTCAATGTACGTATTTTTAAAGATTTTGACATTCCGACTACTTAAAAGAATACATACTATTTTCAAAGATAAAGTGTACTTTAAATAATAGGTGTAGGGAGAAGACAGGAAGTAAGAAGGAAAGGAAGAACACCTGGAAACAGAATGCTGGAAGAAGGCATGTGTCAGAAAGAGAAGAAAACAAAGAGAAGAACTACAGCTTCAGAGAGACATAGTAGCTTTAAAATTATTTGAGACTCATACATATTTTCTCTTGATTCTAGACACGAAGACCTGTATTATGATGGTTAGTTTAGAATTCTTCCTTGCAAAGTTTGTTAATTTATTTTCCCTGGACTTTTACTTAGATCTTACCATACTGATTGTAAAAATGTAATATTACTTTTACCCCTTTGTAGTTTGTAGTAATTGTTCATTTATTTAATGTATCATTTTAGGTATCCATCATACTTGGCACCCGAGGTAATTGCACAAGGAATTGTCAAAAGCACTGATCATATGCCAAGTGAAAAACCATTGCCTTCTGGCCCCAAATCAGATGTGTGGTCTCTTGGAATAATTTTATTTGAGCTTTCTGTGGTATGTATAAAGAAATATTAAACTAAAAAGAAATTGTATGCTTATTAGAATAAGTTTTTTGGATAGGAAAGCTACTTAACCATAATACATTTTTGCTTTCTGGATTGACTAGGTATGAGGGAAAAACACATAAATCTATTTGACTTGTTAAAAAATCTTGTTTGACAATTTATTTGCATATATTTTGGTATCTTTAGAAGTGTTTGTTTTGTACTTTTGCTAAGTATGAAAAAACTTACACCATACTAAGTGTAAAAAATTAAACAGTTCCAGAAATGTTTACTCTAAAGCTGCTTATACTCTTTGCATGCTCTCTCTCCATTCTGTGGTATTCTTTCTTCCCTAAATACCTTCTTCTCTCCTGTTCTCTTATATTTTCTAGAAGACTCACTTTGTAGTGGACTTATGTTTTATGAGACCTTTCCTAGATACCCTCTTTATTTATTAGGGCAAAGACTAAGCTGATATTAAAAAGAAAGAACTTAAAAATATAGTAGCTCAGAGAACATAGGTGTTTTCCTGCCTCTTGTAACATTCCACATCATGCGGAAATCCAGAATTTGGCTCTGTCAATCTCAAATGTCTGGTTTCCAAAACCGATTTCCTTATCACCATGTTTAGCCATAGGGAAGGAGGGGAGTGAGTTCATGGTACTGTCTTTAAGAAGATGATCTGGGTACCTGGGTGTCTCAGTCATTGAGAATCCAGCTTTTGATTTTGGCTCAGGTCGTGATCTCATGGTTCATGAAATCAAGCCCTGCATTGGGCTCCGCACTGACAGTGCTGAGCCTGCTTGGGATTCTCCCTCTTCCTCTCTCTCTGCCCCTCTCCTGCTCATGTTCTTTCTCTCAAAATAAATAAATAAACATGAAAAATAATTTTTAAAAACAATGATCTAAAAGTGCAGATATCAACTCTACTTTTCATTGGTGACAGTTTACTTAAGTGGCTACGTTATAGGTACAAGGGAGACTAAGAAATGTAGTCTTAGCTGGACACATAAATATTGAGGAAGAAGATGAGAATGAATTTAGAGGGACAAAAAACAGCCTGTCATGGCCAAGATGAAAATAATTTTGGAGGAACAACTAACGATCTGTCAATCCTGCTTCTAAATAACTACCAGCATTAGGTCCTTATCTTCTTTGCTCTTCTTTTTTTTTACATTTTTATTTTTTCAACGTTTATTTATTTTTGGGACAGAGAGAGACAGAGCATGAACAGGGGAGGGGCAGGGAGAGAGGGAGACACAGAATCGGAAACAGGCTCCAGGCTCTGAGCCATCAGCCCAGAGCCTGACGCGGGGCTCGAACTCCCGGACCGCGAGATCGTGACCTGGCTGAAGTCGGACGCTTAACCGACTGCGCCACCCAGGCACCCCTCTTCTTTGCTCTTCTATTATGACATGTGTCACATGTGCCTACTTTACTTGGACAATGAGATCTTTAGAAGCAGAAATTTTTCATCTATACTGTATAATTGTTGGAAAAATGAAATAATACGTATATATAAAGTACTTAGTATAGTATGTTATATAGCAAATGGTCCCTGGATGTTATCTTTTATTATGATATTACAATATTTTATGATTAAGAAAAATATTTTATGATTAAAATCATAATATTCATAATAACATGGTAGTTTACCTGTTGGCACAGCTTTTTCTAAGGGAAAATACCAGATTTTCTGATTCTTTGCTATTCTCTGTCTAGACCATTTTAGTTTTCATTGGTATGAAATAATGATAAATCTCATTGTTGTTTAAAATCATAGCCTAGGGGCACCTGGGTGGCTCAGTTGGTTAACCATCCGACTTCGGCTCAGGTCATGATCTCGTGGTTCGTGAGTTTGAGCCCCGCATCACGCTTTGTGCTGACAGCTCAGTGCCTGGAGCCTGCTTTGGATTCTGTGTCTCCCTCTCTCTGCCCCTTACCCACTCACACTCTGTCTCTCTCTCAAAAATAAATAAACATTAAAAAACTTTTTAAAAAGTCATAGCCTAAATGAAAAATCTTATTGAAATGTGAACGTGAAGTATATGGAAGTGTAAATTTGATATGTACAACTTTTCCTTCTTATTACGTAACCTATATCTAAACTCTGTATTAATGATCAGGGTATATGTCCTGTGAGTAATTCAGTTCAACAAATGTAGATGAGTATTTACTGTGTGTATAGCATCATGACAAATGCAGCAAGAGATAAACTGTGTTTAAGACACATTGTCAAGAAGCTTATAATTTAATTCAAATCCATAAACTTAGAAGATAAACTCAGAAAAGCTATGTGAATTCCAAGAAAGGAAATATTCATTTCATAATAGGGACTTCATGACATTTTAAGTGATACTTACGTTTACACAGTCTAGTTTTAGAATGGCATACTGAATATAAGCTTAAATCTTCCTACTTCATCAAACCTTTAGAATTGATATAAAATATTAAGATATAAATTAAAAGCACACTAACAACTAAAAAGGGAACTTTTGGTATGCTAAAAATCCTAGGAAATAGATGAGAGGCTATACCAAAGCCGTTTTGCTAGGAAGCTCTTACCGTATCACCAGAAAGGCAATACAGCCACTGTGCCACCCAGAAGTTTCCATAGTCCAAAAGATGTATAGGAAAATTTGTATTAAGAGGTGAGAACATTTCTAAGAAATACCAAACACCTAAAACAATACATCTACAATATGATACATGCAATAAATACATACATCTACAATAAAAAAGAAGCAACAAGAAGAATTTACACCATTGAAAGGACTTTAAAATAAATGTACATGTTTTTTAGGAGATAAATAAAACAATGCCATTTGTGAAACAATAATAGAAACTCTGAGTCAAGAACATTTGCTGAAAAGAACAAGAACCAGTTAAGGGTTTTAAGGAAAAAAAATGTAACTATTGAAATAAAGAACTAAAGAGATGGATCATAAGAAACGAGACACACTGAACGTAGAAGATGAAGCTGAGTAATTCTCCCAGAATATGTCACAAAGAAATAAGGAAGTTGAAAATATAAAAGAAATTTAATTTTTTTTAATGTTTATTTTTGAGACAGAGAGAGACAGAGCATGAACGGGGGAGGGTCAGAGAGGGAGACACAGAATCTGAAACAGGCTCCAGGCTCTGAGCTGTCAGCACAGAGCCCGAAGCGGGGCTCGAACCCACGGACCGTGAGATCATGACCTGAGCCGAAGTTGGCCACTTAACCGACTCAGGCCACCCAGGCGTCCTGTAGAAATTTTAAAAGACAGGGAAGATAGATCCAGATGTTCTAATATTTGTTATATAGTTGTATTAGAAACCAAGACTAAAGCCCTTGGTTTCAAAGAACCCACTAATTACCTTGCAGGGCAAATGGGAAAAAAAATCACAACATACAACAACAACAAAAAAACAACAACAAATACCTTGAAATCATATACTCTACTTTTAGAATAACCAATAATGAAATAATAAGTAACATTTATGGAGAACTTTTCAAGAATCAGGTAGTTTTCTAATCTCTTTACATCTATTATTTTAGTCAATACTCACACCAGTCTTATAAAATTTAATTATTATCTTTAGTTTACAGATCAGGAAATTGAGGTACAAAGAAATTAAGCAACCCGTCTTAGTTACACAATAGTAAGTACTTGAGCAAATTTGTACCCATCAACTATATGCAAAGCTGGACTCTTAACTAACACACCAAGCTTCCTTCACTAAGCTCTGATGTCTTTATCACTGTTAATGAGAAAATCTTCAAATGTGTTGGAGAGAAAAGACATACTACCTACCAAGAATGAGATTGGCATTAAACTTCTTAGTAGCTTGGAAGTAAGAAAGCAGTGGCATAATGCCATCAAAGTGCTGAGAGAAGTAATTTGAATTTTGAATTCTTTAATTCACAAAATTAACATTCAGGAGTGGGAATGAAATAAAGGATATATACAAAAATTTCATAGCCATGAAGAAAAAAAACTACTGGTAGGGAAATAACCTGAGTCAGAGTCTGTATGCCTGAACAGGCAGAGTGTGCTCACCATATTGCAAGTAATCAAATTGAACTGCTTCGTGTGTGTGTGTGTGTGTGTTCATCATACGTAGATAAATAGTAAGCACTTAGATTGAAAAGATATATTGGAGCCATATCCTAGAAGACTTTGATTGCTGAATTGAGAAGTTTATATTTAGTTATATATGGTATGTAGGACCATTTAAAGTTTTTAAATAAGATATTGATAAAGTCAAACCTGCGTATCTAGAAGATTAATAAGATAGTAGTGTAAAAAATTGAGACAGGAATGGCAACTTTTTCTTTCAATGATCTCTCCACCTGTAGTTCTAATTTCATAAATGTTTAAGAAAGTTTTTGCTGTCTCTTAAAAAAGAACAGTTTTTTTTTTTCCTCCATGTAAAGACCAAGGTATATTCTTAAGCCTTTTCTTCCTTTTTTAAAATGTTTATTTGTTTATTTTGAGAGAGAGAGAGAGTGCACAAGCAGGGAAAGGGCAGAGAGAGAGGAGAGAGAGAATCCCAAGCAGGCTCCTCACTCAGCGCTGAGCCCAATGTGGGGTTCAATCTCATGACTGTGAGATCATGACCTGAGCTGAAATCAATAGTCGGATGTTCAACCAACTGAGCTACCCAGGCACCCTGTAAGCCTTTCCCTCTAAGTCTACTTAAAGAATCCTATAAGTTTAATTTGTTTATGATAAAGGAAACATAATTACCAACATTTATGAAGGCATTTCTGTGTGCAATAAATGCCAAGCACTTTTTCATACATTGTATAATCCTCATTGCAACCTGTGTATCATATACAGTTAATATTCCAGTTTTATAAATGAGAAAAGTAAAACTTAAAGTGGTTGAGTAATTTGCCAAAGTTATATAACTTGTGGTTGAAAGTCCAATTTGGGGGCGCCTGGGTGGCGCGGCAGTGGAGTTAATCATCTCGCTCAGATCGCGATCTCACCATCGTGTCCGTGGTCAGCCCACGTCCGGCTCTGGGCTGATGGCCTCAGAACCTGGGAGCCATCTCGATTCTGTGTCTCCCTCTCTCTCTCTCGCCCCTCACGTTCATGCTCTGTCTCTCTCTGTCCCAAAAATAAATAAACGTTGAAAAAAAAAAAATTAAAAAAAAAAAAAATCCAATTTGGCACACAAATGCTCAACACATAATTGTTGAAGTTTTAAGTGATTTCAGACTATGTCAAGCAGCCCCCCCCAACCTCCCCCCCCCGAAGCTGACTAATAAGAAAACAACTAAAATACAATGTATGTGTCTTAAAATAAATGTACCAGGTGCTATGGGAGCACAAAGGATGGTTGTCTAATTCATTGTGGGAGGAAGGAATATCATGGAATGTTTCTTAATGGAGACAACAGATTACCTGGATTTCATATGATATAGAAGTAAGAATTAGTTAGGTAAATGTAAGGATAATATGTCTCTTTCCAAGGGGCCATCTTGGTCTCTTAATCAAATAAGACTCCCTGTGTCCTGGAATCTCTCTAGACAACCAGGTATATGTAGGTCTCTAAAATGAGGAATGCTTCAGACCAAATAAGAATGTAATTGATCCTTAGATATGTGAAATGTTTAAATGTTAAACCAATGATTCTTCTTTAATGGAGCTAACTCTAAAATCTAAAAGTCAAATAAAACCTCTGAAGAGAAAAAGAGGTACCTGAGAAAATCATTTTCAGCTCTGGGGAAAAAAAAATATCTTCCTGAAGAATGATGTAAATGTTAACACAAATTTCTTCAAATTTCTTTTCCTATTTTATTTAGGGAAGAAAATTATTTCAAAGCTTGGATATTTCTGAAAGACTAAAATTTTTGCTTACATTAGGTAAGTGTCTCACAATGGATTATTTTTCAAATATAAATATTATCTTTTGTGACTTTTAGTAAGCATACACAATAATGTGTTCTAAAATAGTGAATACACTGAAATATCCTGACTTTTTAAATTTTCTAATGATCAGTGGTAAGCATTAACAGTACAAACTTAAGAAGTGCTTTCTGAAATATTTTAGTGTTTTCCTTATTCATTACGGAATTATAATGTAGATAGATATTATCTTAGCTTCGTGATCTAGCCAAGTAAACTAAGTTGTGAAATCAAAAAATGAGAATATAAAGTTATACTTCTCTGTAGCAATTTACCTTCTGATAATATATCTTAAATTTTGAGCTTTCTGTTTGATGAATCATGTGTGAATAATGACTGGGAAGAATGTTTATTTTTTCTTTTAACAAGCTCATTTATTTTACATGTATATTAGATCCTAATGTTTTAATTCAAGTTTACAAAAATTTATGTAATCTATTTTAGAGTGGAATAAATTAAGCATGTGTGGTAATAAAGGAGATAAAAACAGTGATAGAGCACTTTATATGAAAGAGTGACAGATTGCTGTCCAGGTTAATAGGGTTTGTAAGTAAGAATATATATATATAGAAAAGTGTTAATAAATATTGAATAATAATGAATTATAAATATAACTGCATTAAATTTTACCATATTTACAACATTTAATTTAAACAATTGATAATAAGACTATTAAAGAGTCTTAGAGATTTCTTAATATGGTCTACAAACTAAACTTATACTTTATTATTTTTTAATATATATTTAATGTTTATTTGTATTTTGAGAGAGAGCGGGAGCACACATGCAAATGGGGGAGGGGCAGAGAGAGAGGAAGAGAGAGAATCCCAAGTAGACTCCACCCTGACAGCATGGAGTCTGATGCAGGGCTGGATCCCACAGACTGAACTGTGAGATTATGACCTGAGTGAAATCAAGAGCCAGGCACTTAACTGACTGAGCCACTCAGGTGCCCTGAACTCTATTATTTCTTTTTTTTTTTTAAGTCCAGTGTAGTTAACATACAGTGTTAAACTGTTTCAGGTATACAATATAGTGATTAAGCAATACTGTATATTACTCAGTGCTCATCATGATAAATATACTCTTAATCCTTTTCCTCTGTTTTCATCTATCCTCCCACCTACCTCCCCTCTGGTAATTATCAGAGTTCAGTTCCCAGTTAATCTGATAGATAAGAAAAGCAGCATTAATTCCCCTCTGGGAACCATCAGTCTGTTCTCTATACTAAGAGTCTGTTTTGTTTTACTTGTCTCTTTTTTTTCTTCATTTGTTTGGTTTCTTAAATTCTACATATGAGTGAAATCATGGTATTTGTCTTTCTTCGACTTCGACAATGTTTCACCTAGCATTGTATTCTCTAGATCCATCCACATTGTGGCAAATGGCAAGATTCCATTCTTTTTTATGGCTAAGTAATATTACATTGTGTATATATACACCACATCTTTGTTATCCATTCATTTATTGATGGACACTTGGGCTGCATCCATAATCTGGCTCTTATAAATAATACCGCAATAAGATAGGGCTGCATATATTTTTTTGAATTAGCGTTTTCATATTCTTTGGGTAAATACCCAATACTGGGATTACTAAATCATATGGTACTTTTATTTTTAATTTTCTGAGAAACCTTCATGCTGTTTTCCACAGTGGCTGTACCAGTTTGCATTGCACCAACAGTGCACAAGAGTTCCTTTTTTCCACATCTTTGCCAACACTTGTTGTTTCTTCTGATTTTGATTTTAGCCATTCTGACTGGTATGCAGTAATACCTCATTGTGGTTTTGCTTTGTATTTCCCTGATAACAGTGATATTGAGCATTTTCCTTGTGTCTCCGTTGGCCATCTGTATGTCTTCTTGAAGAAATATCTGTTCAGGGGCGCCTGGGTGGCGCAGTCGGTTAAGCGTCCGACTTCAGCCAGGTCACGATCTTGCGATCCGGGAGTTCGAGCCCCGCGTCAGGCTCTGGGC